TGAAACGATGCTACTCTAACCAACCACACATAATATCTTAAACTAATCACTTTGTCTTCTCGTGGAATTGTTTGGACAAGAAACATGCGAAGGTTAGCTTCGACGAAATTCTCGTCAATTAATAACACAGAGACTCAAGGTATGGATTTACAGTGGTCAAGACTGAACTGATACTACTGTTACATTCAAGAATATGCAGTCCATAAAAGATTACAATCCCAAGTGTTTCACGTTAATGATAATAAGTACACAACTTCAAAATGTTTATGAAGAACATAAATCTTAGGTAGTTTAAGGAGAAATCTTTGATACAAGTTGTTCATTTAGGTCTTTTTTAACAAAGCAACACTTTTTACTTCAATTAATTCTGAAACAAAAAAGACAGAGTTTTCTAACCTATTGTAATAACCTAATAAATTCGTTTGCTCCGAGTCAGAGTAACAGGCAATAACATCAGTTAATTTCAAATTAAATTACTTTTGACTGAGATAGATAGGAGGAACATATAGAAATTATGAGTTTAGAAACTAAGTTGTTCAAGTACAAAAATGCATATAGTCATGTATAACTCTTAAAACTCAAAAAGTACTTTATTTTGTAAGCCTTTTATTGTAAATAGAGTAACAGAATTAGGTGCTCCATTTAATAAGCACCATCGATCAAATCATTTCTCTTACATACTTTTAACACACTTACTTAAGAACCGGATTTCAGGTTTCTGTAAGCATGAAATTATTAAAACTTGATGAAGACAAGAAAAATTTTAACATATTCCAGGAAATAAAAAAATTACTTCTTGAAATATTTATTTTCTTTATCGCGATCACTGTTTTTATCGTCTCCAAATGTCAACTTTTTTCTGTACCAAATGCTTATCGATTATTGTTTTCAGATAAAAATTAATTCATCATTTTTATTTACATTTTGTCAATATTAACAACACATCTAACACTAAAATATTCAACAATAAACGAACGGCACTGTTTTGTTCGTTCAACATAGTTATATACCACTGCCTTTTAAGAAATATCTGGTTAAAATGCTGGTTCATCGGGCATCTGAGTTCATCAGTAATTTATTTTTTTCACAAAGATATAAGATAACATTAATACTTTTTATTATTATTAAAAAGAGCGTCTTTCCAATGAGCATAGCAAATCAAGTAATCCATAACCATTTAAACAATAAGAGTCCTTCACTAACTAATTGGCATGTAGCCAATTTCTTTAGTCCTCCCATGTACAGGGAAACAAGTTATTCTGAATAGATATCATTTACCCAAATCATGTCATCAGGCATACTCAAGTGGAGTTGAGAAGTTTTTTTAAGTCAGCATGCAGACTACGGTATTTTTTTAGGTATAAGGAACATATACCTGCCTTTAAAGATCAGGAAAGTCCTAAATATTTTTCAGGTTATATTGATTTTACAACTAAATGGTTAACAGTTTGCATAGAAGAACATGCTTATTTAAGATCCACGTCATTTTCAAGTATTAAGAAACATGCGATAAATGAACATAATGAACATATAAAATGTATAATCTTCGCTAAGGTCAACAGTGAACAAGACCGGCAAATAAAGCTTTGCTTTGAATTTCTCGCAAAGCTACACGACGGCTATCTGCGTTAGCCGTCACTAATTTAGCAGTGAAGAACTAGAGGGAAGACAGCTAGTCATCACCGCCAACTCTTGGGCAACTTTTTTACCAACGAATAGTGGGATTGACTGTAACATAATAACGCCCCCACGGCTGAAAGGGCGAGGAAAGACCGCTAATTGAACGATGTTGAACGAGCAAAACATGTGGTTCCATTATTTTGTCAGAGTGTTTCTTCCACACTTAACTCGTATGTAATTGTGAATTTCTCGATCAAAATTCGAGGTTATAATAAAAATAGCCCTTCAAATATATTTCCTTTTGATTAACATATTACATTTTGTTGTTGAAATTGACGGGAAAATATCAGTAATTTTTCAAATAATATCTTTATTACTAATTTTGTGTGGATAATTAGATACATGAATCAAAACACCCCCGCATCACACACTTTTATTTTAATGTCAATTTCACTTAATTTTTGTTGTCACGATAAAATTCCGAAAAAAATCAAACAGAATCTTTGACTTTCAATAAAAAACAGATTTGTCAAGAAAGATTTAAATATGTTTTATATTACATTATTAAGAGAGAAAAAAAATAAAAGTATTGGGGACATAGAAATATGTGGTAAGACTTGTTTAACACCAAAAGGCACTTGAGTATTGTGAAAGCATTTTAATGTACCA